CCCCCCAGGTCAGCGTCTACGGACACCCTCTGAAAGCTGAACCCTTCATGAGGGCTCGAGCTGGGCTTTATTAATATGGGGAGGTTGGTTAATCCTGAGTCAACAGTACCACCACATCTTACTCTAGCCTCACACATACCTCTCATCCTATAGGGCATACGTGAATGCAGCAAGTTTGAAGCGGTCCTTTCTTTCAAGGTAATGGCCTGGCCGTTGCTCTTTGTTTGCGCTGCCTGCGCTGCCTTGGGCTTTGCCCCCACGGGATCTGGAAAACCAAACTCCTGCAACGAAGCTGCATTCACCACATCCTCGTGACATTGATGTACAGTTATTTGGCGTGCAAACATGAAGGAAATATATCCAAAGTCAGTGCACAGAAGTCTTCTAGCATGGTCCAATGCAAATGCAGGCCCCATTGGCGTCCTTGCGCAATCTGGCTTGCGTTGCCTCTGACAAAGAACATGATGAGGAACTAGATGAGGAAGAGCTACCACCTTCAGCTTTATTGCCCTTCGCATCAGCTTGCTTCTTGAGTTTCTTTTGCAACTTCTTCCTGTAGAAAGGACTTGTGCATCAACCGGTTGATGAATGAACGCAACACGTAAATGTCGCCATGGCATTCCATATGTGCTAGTGAGGCTCTTCCTTTTTTCCTCAAATTTCAGGAACTTTTTCTTCAGCTTTGATTCCTTCTTCATGCGTTTCACCTCCTCCATCATGGCTTTGGCATCCTTCACCAAGTCCTTAGTGGTTCGGGCTGGGGCTCTTCGGACGTGAGGTACTCCGACATGCTCCAACCCATTAGAGCCGGATCCATTTGGATCAGTCAGAGCCAAAGGCCGCACCTGCCTTGGCATGTAAAGGTAGGACTGTGAATGTGCTTCTTGCTGCATTGGCTTTCACTATACAAGCAACAAGGGCATTTCTACTATATAGTAGCAAGATACTAGCAGCTCCTGGCCTTACTACTAGGAACAAGAAGCTACTAGGTGGGGGCCATCGCTACTAGGAACAAAAAGCTATATTTGTTTAGGTCTTAAGTTCACATTTCTCATCGCCCTTATTGGACTGGCGTGGTGCAATTCGGAGCCCAACGTTTGAACTTAAGCCTAAGCACACGCAAACAGAGTGATGTCGATCCAAATGCATGTGCCGAACAGCCAATGTAAATCAAGACTTGCCTTTTGCATGCCCAACCCCAGCCCTTCCAATAAGAAACACCACACCACTCTGTGAAATGTTGCTGTTGCTGTTCTTTCGCATGTTGGTCGAACTTTTCAAACAAAACGACATCAAGACGCCAAGACTCATACAACATGGCTAAAACCATCGAAGACGAAAACAGGTCCCGGGGAGTCTCATCCCAAGTAGCAAAACACATAGCAACTCATAGCAACACATAGCAACTGTCCTCAATCCCAAGTCCTCAAGTCCGAGAGTGCATCTGAGGTTCCTCAGTTTTTGTCTTTTTCTGCTTTCCTCCACCCTTGGGGAATCGACCTTCTCGGTTCTTTGGGTCGAGATCTTCTCCGGTGTCTTGGTTCACATAACCTGAGCGACATCAGTTCACCGCCACAAAGACGCTACTAGGGGCTCCTGGCCGTACTACTAGGAACAATGTCGCTATAAGAAACAATAATTAGAAGTAAAATTCTTTGTGGCGCCACAAAGGACAGGACTATTGTAAAGGCGGCTCTGCCCCCCGACCTAGAAGCGATGGCCTTCAACCTGTACTCGGACGACAAAGACCAAACCCCAAATGCTTTCTCAATGTTTTTCGGCATGTCTTGTCATTTGTAGCAACTCAAGTGCTAGTGTTTGCCTGGTCTCATGCCTGCTAGGCTAGGGTGCATGCTACAGCACTTGGAGAGTTCGCACAAACAACGCCCCCTTGCTACATGACTGAAGGAAGGTTGCTGCCCAAAGGCGCAAGTCCAAGCCATACTTGCCATCCTCTGGCTTGACATTGCACACCTTCAAGAATGTCATTGCTCAATAGCACAAACACCAGCCAGCCTTGTTTACGCTCTATGATGCTTTATGTACACACTTGCCTCTAATCAAGGTGCTGATAACCTCCACCTGGATTTCTTGATCGCATGTTTAGTAAGTTCACTGACTGAATCATTCAACTGCAGCTGACCCGACCCGTTTGGCAAGCGCGTCGCAACGTCCCGGGCCCAAAGCAGGTTGCCAGTGGCGGAGCTTCAAAGCTTGCCTTCGCCCAAACCTTGTCTCCAACGTCCAGGTAGTCGGAGACTTTTTCCACCCTCCCTGCAGCTATGGATCTAATGTGGACCAAGCCGTCCTGCAAATCTGTCACAGCGCGCCATTTTGCCATTCCAATTGTAGCAACGCAAAAGCATGCATAACTTCAAACACTGTGCAAACCTTTGAAGGAGGCTCGGGGCACGCAAAACGGCAAAACACATTTGGACACATAGCCATAGCTATTTCATTTCCAATGGGCAGCCTGAGAACTTCTTGGTGCCACTTAATTTTGGAAGACATTCTCGGCGTATGTATTTTAGATGTGACATCCCAAACAAGCTCACTCAATGTTATGTGAACAGTTTGACTGCATTGTTCACTCTCATGCACATAAGAACATAATATCATATACATTACGTGCATGCTTGCACGTGTTCAACATGATGCCGTCGCAGTTTAACATGTCCACCTTAGAAATAGATCGACAAATCATCGGACACCGTGCAAATATACACAATATAGCAGGCGGTGCTCAGTGCTAAGTCCACGTGGGTTTGTTCATGCCAGGTCACAGGCAGCTATCTACGAGTATCTTTATATGCCTGTCTGTCTAAGATTGTCTAAGTATCTCATCCTTTTCACATCCAATTCATCTCCTTCATCTTATGTTGTTTTCCCTCGAGTGCTTGAAGGACGCTTGTGAGGACGCTACTAAGCAAAAGGACGCTACTAGGAGCAAAGGGCATCGCTACTAGGAACAAGGACGCTACTAGGGGCTCGTGGCCTTACTAATTACGAGGAACAAGAAGCTATTAGGAACAAGAATTGAATTTAATTAGAATTTAATTTTAATAGATTGGAAAAAGTGCCGCCAGGTTTAACAGGATCTCCAGCCGCAGCTCTCCTTGTACTCGTCACCTTCAGGGCCGAGCTGGAGTTTCCGTCAGCAAATCATAGCCATTGATAGCAAAAGTGTGTGTGTTGCCATCAGCACAAGCCAATCACCAAATAATGGGATACCTAGACCTAGGAAGGACATCCATACAATTGAGATGAGGTTCAGAAAGTTCACGCTCAAAATTTGTAAGTGGGCCTTAATCAGTCAGTCCCGCAGTATTCCCGTTCAATTCTATAATGACCCCCTGCATCATTTATCCTCAAAGCGTGCCAAGAATATAAAGTTCATCTTCCAGCACACCGCATGAGTCAAAGGCAGTCTCTTCGAACGACATACCTGAGGGAGTGAAAAAGGGAACCATACCATGTCTAGCCACAAATGGAACAGGAAGCAGGAGGCTCGTGACAGAAGGTAGCCACTACCCGCCTTTCCCAATTCGCACGAAGGCACCGAAGGGCTGGATCGATGCAACCTAGGCAAGGCACAAAAACATGGAAGCAAACAAGAAAATTGCAGTTGCTGTGACCTGGTTAATTGTATTAATACATGTTATGTTTGGCAACGGCCTCTCTCTCTCTGCAACATATGTATATAATACGCATGTTATTATGTGGTTTTTGTTTCTTGATAGGGCCATATATACTGCGTATTAAACAATATATATATAATCTGATGCCTTGGAAATGGGAAACCCCTCAGCTGGACCCCTGAGAAAACCACAAAATAGAAATCCATTGGGCCATTCTCCCATTCCAACACACGAGAAAGATGAAGAAGATGTTTGAGGTTGTTTCTGGGACTGTAATGCCAAAAGTGTCAAGCTGGTGGAAATCAAGGTGTTGCGATCATCAAAGCACATCTTTAAGTGCCAATGGTCCATTGGTCATTCTCTTTTTCGGCTTTTGGCTTGGAAGAACCTCAGCCCCAAGACCTCGCACCGCAGATCAATTGGACCGCTTCCGAAGGCTTCCATGGGCCACGGACCGCCACGGACGGCCACGGGCCCATCTCTTCCCAGCAACAGTGCCCTCTAGGATGCTGTGCAGGTCCGGCAGCACCAAAGTCTCTTCCTCTGTGGCTTCTTTCTCGGGCCGCTCAGGAAGTGCCATGGCGATTCGCAAGCGATTCCGGGAAAGGATGCTGTTTTTGTTACCTGGTCTTGGTCAGGTTTGTTCCTCACTTTGCTTTAAAAAACGCATATTTAGCGAACGCATGCATGATGCTTCTTAAGCTGTCTGAGGAGGTTGGACGGGTAAGTCGGGTAAGTGCCTTTGCAGGCTCTCATCTACAACACCTGGCTGATGCCAATAAAAAACAATGGTAAAACCTACTCCGCTCAAAAGCCCTATACAGATCCTTTTCTGAAAGCATGTGCACAAAGAAGGCTAAAACACCTCTGGGTGCATCAAGCGAGGTTAGTGGAACATGTTGAAATATGTCGAAATGCCACATCTGGATCTGTGAATACAGTATATAACGTGCAGTAAATACATGTACAGCAGTTTTATGAGTTTCAGCCAAGGCTAATGCCTTTTCACTTCAAGCCTTGAGCCAAAAGTCATTGAGACTTTGGCAGTTCCACTCATTGGAGGGAACACTTCCTGACAAGTTCTGATCTCAAACAGCTTGTGATCTGTACGCTGTTTATGATTGCATTGCTGTGTGACATCAAACGTCCCCCCGCGGTTGAAATGAAGGTCAGAAGCAAACAAGTCCAAGTCAGCTGCGAATGCAGCCTCCCCGGCCAAGGCTGCGCTCGCAACTTAGGCGTGGACCTATTTCAACCGTAAGGCACAGCAAAACAAAATGCAAAAGATCCTAATTGTTCAAACAAATGCCCACTCATCAGCAGCCATCGTTGGAGGCAGCAGCGAGAAAAAGGCAATCATGCAGTGAAGAGCCAAAGCCAGCGCCAAGCACAAGATTCCTCGGATGAGTCCGCGCAAGCGCAGGAATCTCACCCCAAACCTGTTTGGTCTTCAGGCCAAGGCACCTCCAACTAAGGCAACCGCAGGCTGGCAACTAGGGTTCTGACCAAACTCTAAGGTGTGGACGAGGGCCAGTGAGTGAGACCAATGGACTGAGGATCAAATTTGCCTGAGGTTAATGCCTTAGTGAATATATCTCCTAATTGATCTCGGGTGGGTGTCTGCTCAAGTTGGCACCAGGTGGTGCAGGCTTCGTTCAGGGATGCAAGTGACAACTTGGGTGTTCGTGCTAGATGGCGAAGCTTAATGGAATATCCTTTGCGGACAGATTGAACTACAGCAGAATTGTCTTCCTTGACAATGGCTTTGGGGGTTTCTTTGCCCAAAAGAGTTTGGAGTAACATGAGGGCTGGAGCAAGTTCCTCATGCACACCCTCTGAAAGAGCATTCAACTCCGAGTCGGCCGTGCTCCTAGCCACATGTTGTTGTCTCCTAGAGGACCATGCTATTGGGGCAAAAGTCCCGTTTGGCCCAGTGATGACCAAGAAAAGCCCAGAAGTAGATTTGGCTGTAAAAGGACATCCCCCCAGGTCAGCATCTACGTACAAACAGAGCGAGCATGAGGAAGGTGCATCAACAACACGGGAAACCAAACAAAGATCACGTGTGGTGTGAAGGTAGCTAACCAATCGGAAAAGTTGTTTGTCAGCATTGCGACTCCAACGGGTCACCTGAGTTGCCAACATGCCTATGGGATATGCCAAATCTGGCCGTGCCAGTCGACAAACCCATAAGAGTTTCATCAAAACGCTAGACGCTTTGTGGGAAATCTGACCTTGAACCTGATAGTCTTCCATTGTGAGCACACCCTCATTGACATATGGGGTGGAGACACGTCTTAAGGAAACATTTCCGGCGGCTTCAAGGTACAAGTCAATGGCTTGTTGGCAATAATCAACCATGTTGAAAACACACTGCCCTTCCGAAAGTTCGTGGTTTCTCCCAATAAACTGATTGAGGTCCTCTACCTCGTCGGTTTCCACTAAACGTTGCAATTCTTTCCAGAAAGCCGATTGATGCGCCTTTGGACCTGACACCAAGACATCATCGACGTATATCACCACTAAAAGAAACGTTTTAGGGCAATAATACACACTGGGATGCCCCTCCATTGGCAACAGTCCCAAATCACCTTGGAGAACCTGGCGGAGGTGAAGGTCCCAGCACGCTGATGCAAGTGGATGTCCGTAAAGCGCCTTTCTCAGGCGCACCGTTGGCTGTTTGTACTTTCCAGCCCATCCTGGAAGCCATAGTTCTTGAGGCAATACCACGAAGGTTTCCTCTTTCATCAATAGCATAGCTTGCAGAAAGGCACGAGTACAATCCGCAGCTTTCAACTCGTTACCCAACAATAGTCCATAAAACACTGCCAAGTTTATAGCCTGAGTGTTAGTTGGAGTACTGAACATCGCTCCAAACTGCGCTGGTCCACCCCAAGAATCTTTTACCTGGTCTCCCCTAAAGACCAACCTCCCTTTGTACTTTCTCTTTGAGGGGGTTTCCCAGAACTTGATGCTTGCGATCGGCATTACGTCGGCAATGTGGATGACCTTGTTGTCCTTCTGTGCCTGAGAAATCCTTTCACTCTTTTCCATGACAGAGTTATCGTCCCAAACATCTTTGGCGCGAACTCCCTGACCTTCCTCCCAAATTGCTTGCAGAGCTTTGGGATCGGATCTCATTTCTTCACGGGTCAACAACTTGTGAATAGTTCCCAAAACACAAAGTTCTTGAGTGTGAAAGTCATGCAGTCGTGCCCTATGGGGATCCAATTTAAAAGGAAGAACTGGCATTGCAGGAACAAGGTCTGCAACAACGCCCGGGAACAACGTGGTCAAAATACTGGTAGCCATGGTCACATTGTAGATTCCAGACTTGGTCGTTAGGGATCCTTCAAGTGAATCATGAAAACCCTTCTCATGTTTACACTTCTTGTGTTGAAACTCTTTGACCAAACGTTTGTTGTCGGTTTGCACCAACCAAGGCCTCTGGGGATGTTTGCCATTGATGGCCAACCCAAATGCACAGCCGTCTATGCGGACAGGTTGCAGGTCGAGCGCCACCATAGTGTCTTTGACAAGTGGTTGATCCCATCCCTCTGAATCTCGAGACCACTCAAAAGTAACGGAACCTCCCCTAGAAAGTTTTACCATTTCGGCAACATCACGAAACCTCTTAACCATCTCCAAAGACTCAGCTCTTCTTTTCTGAAGTTTTCGTTTGTAGGAGCTACCATACTTAGCAATGGCCATTCTTTGCCATGGGGACCATACCGTGCATGGGAGGGAACTCCACAAATGAATAGGACCGTTTCCATCCTGTATTTCTTCTTGCAACCAGAAAAGAAGTTGTTGAAAAGCATCGTCGTCTTGGATGTTGAGAGATTCTTTTGTGATGCCAAGATACGCAATACCAAGGATATCAGCCACCCTCGAAATTGATGAGTTCTCTTCACAGCAAAATTCGATGAAAGTTCCCTTGACCTTTCCTACTTTCTTGATGACACCCCCCGGAACCGGCAGAAACTCCCCCAATTGTTCATCAAACAGACTAGCATCAGGTTCACTGACCCTTGGGCTAGAGGGGGTATATTCAGACCCTTCAGTTCCACGTGGCTCAAGAGGAAATTGCGGTTTCCAACCATCAAGAGAATCATAATCCGAATCATAACCATCTTCAACCCTGACATCGAACATCCGCATGGACTCATCCAAATCCAAGTCACCATGGCCACGTCCATCAATAGACCCCCCCCCGGAAACCACAACCAAAGGCTCAGCACTATCCAACAACTTGTTAAAGCGGGAACGGCACTCAGGAGAATGAGAATAAGTACCCAGCAGGCAACCATCACAAAGATCGGTGGGACCATATTGAGCAAGACGCCGTCGAGTGATGGAGCGGTTACGGGGTTCCTCGATTGAGTCTGGTTCATCGTCGAGGGCTGGAGCCGGTCGTTGGGGGTTTTCGGGCAAGATGGATTTCAGCATGGGGACACTAGTCAAAGGAAAAACCCAACGACCAGTAGGGATAGCAAAGTCCTTGGTGACAATCAAACGGACACTATTGTAGCTGGTCAAATCAGCCAGGTCAAACAAGTGGTGAACATCTTTGCAACGCATGGCAGGAAGAACTTCAGGGCCAACATACAATGCAGGGATGCCAGTAGGTTCGAAAGACTTGGGTGCCTTGGGGTCTTTGGTTTTGTTTAAACACCAAACCAGGGCACCAAAAGGCAACATGCGAGTGTCAGGTTGGTATCCTAAAGCCATATGAAGCTTGCTGTCATACACAGGAGGGGGCGGAACAGGACCCTCAACACCATCAGGCAACACAGCATCATGCACCTGAACCAGGGCTCTAAGAGAACCTTGGGAAAGTTCAGGAAGTGTGGTGAAATTGTAATGGTAACTAAAGCAAGACATCGCTCGAGGCCAAAACTTCACACCTAAACCACTTTGCAACAACAAGGAACGAGTCCCTTGGCGAACGGCTTTGATAGCTGATTCAGCATGAGAGTTGTGAATAGGAACGTTCGGTGGGCTAGGATCAGAAGACAAACCCAACGACCTGACGGCTGACAAGATGCTAGGATATCGATCAGAAGCCACTATTGGTTTGAACTCTCTACAGAAGTGCTTCAAGGCAGTTTCGACTGACTGTTGAGATTTGCTAGAAGAAGGGTAACTATGAATAACACCAGAAAACTCATCAACGCAAACAAGAGCATACTGTTCTCCATGGGAACCCTCTTCGGTAGCTTCTAAGTGGTCACAAGCAACTCTTTGAAGAAAGGATCGGGGTGCCTCAATCACCTGCGCTACTTTCTTGCAATCAGGTTGATTTTTGAATCATTTGTGGGCATGGAAGCGTAGCTTGGCTTGCTTACATACGTCACACGCAGGATGCGCAGGCTGATGAGTGAGCAAATGGTCACTTGGAATCTTTGGATTGGGTGCTTCAAGTGGAATCTTGGATTCATGACTTGGGGCCGGAATTGCTTCAAGTAACCCCCCGCTTGGTGCACTTTCAGGAGAGCAAGGAAACAAACCTATTTCAGACTCTGGAAATTCAGGTGACAACGCAGGTGATTCTTCAATGATTGGTTCATCGTCTCTACCCACTGGAAAAGCATGACGTGGGTCCGCGCTTTGCGCAGGCATCCCGGGAACAAAAGAAATGTTTTCTTTGAAAATAGGTACCCCGTGTTCGACCCTTGTAGCCTCCACACAATGCTCTGGTTCAAAAGAAGCGTGAAAGTCAACATGCGGCGGAATCAAGGTTGGTGTGTAGTCGGGTCCCCAAATGAAAGAAAAACCACGTTCAACAAGTTTACCTAATGAACGAACATACGGACAAGACTTCAACAAATACATGAACCCACTACCAGCCACGTCTCCCTCGACACCCAAGGTGCAAGAAGCGTCCTTCAAACCACCCCCAGTATCGAACGTGAGAGGAGAAGATGAGAGAGTTTCGCACTCCTTGAGAATTGTCTCCGGAATGCCCTGCCGCATCAATGATTTGATCGAGGCGAGGTCTTCACCAGCACCTGAATCCAAGGCCCATTCAACCTGATAGCAGTAGGACTGCTGAACAGGCACGTGAGCTGCGTTGGCAGCTGCCCCAAGAACAACCATAGCAACTAAACCAGCCTTGGGCTTGGGCACGGCTTTGGCCGTGGTTCCTTTGGAGTTGCTAGAACTTGGACCGGGACCTTCATGTTTGTAGGGACAATCAGCCCCGCGTCGACAAAGCCCTTTGGGGTAGAAGATGCATGCACCCTTTTCCTTTTGATTCTTTGAATCCTTAGACTCTTGCTGACCAGAACTACTGCTCGCTTGGCCCTTGGTGGTGGATTGCACTTTTTCAGCGTTTGAGGAAGGTTTCCCTTTGGTAGCCTGACCTTTGGACTTCCCTTGGCCTTTACCACCTTTTGACCCTTTTTCCCCTTTGCCCTTTTCAGTCACAGGTCCAGGAGTTGCAAGTTTCTTAGGTCCTTTACGCAGACCCTCGCGGACTGAATCAAGATTCTTGTCATACTGGTTTTCGGCAATCACACGCAACAGTCGGTTCCAAAGATAGTCAAACTGACGTTCTTGAGAATTCCCTGGCGATTCCCTAATCCTATCAATGGTCAACTGCAACGGTTTGACACGTTTGAGTTTCTCGAACAGCCATTTGGACATGAGTGAATTCGCTGGTCGGTCAGCATTTGGTAGTTGCCCCAAAATGTATTGAACCTTATCCCTGAAATGGATCAAAGAAGCCACATCTGACTCAGGCGCGTTCAACTGGAACAACTCAACTGATGACACCACGCCACCCAAAGCTGCATCGAGATCAAATTCTCGAACCACCATGTTCAACAATGGACGACCCCTGAGAGGAGTATTGTTGGTCATGCACTCTTCAATGAAAGCTTGAATCCGAGGACCAAAGTAACCCTTAAGGCAAGAATCCTTCGTAAACCAAGAACACAACACACGATCAAATCGCGGAAAACCATCAGAATCGTTGCGAAGTTGTTGGGTTTCAGTTGAAGAGCTTGCGTTGAAGGCCGTCATTAGCCACGTAAACAGGTGGTTTTGACTAGACTTGTCAAGCGCCATAAGAGTTGGAATGAAAGCATTCTTCCAAGCCCTTAGAGACCCTGCTGACTCCGGAAGGGAAGGCATTCTCACAGCAGACACGTCTTTCCATCGAAGGCACAAATCCTCCAGTGTCCTCGGTTCATCCTGATCATCGGAATCAACAATCCTAGACGAAGCCAATCCCTTGGGGAACCTACCAACCCTCACATTCATTGGTGGAATTAGTTCTTCATCCGAATCATGTTCGGCAGGGGCATCTGGTACCTCTAACCCCCATGATTCCAAAGCAACGAGTCGTTGATTCATTTCAACCAAGTCACTTTCAAACGAAACCATTCTTTCAACAAGCTGGTCGATTTTCGCATGTAGGGCCGTGTCATTATGGCTCAAATCCTTTGGCTGAGACCTAGCAATTACTTCGTTCAACTGTCTCACTTGGTCCAACAGCTCTTTCTCCCGTTTTTCAAATTCAACCCTCAGGTGTCTTTCTTGTGATACCAAAGCTTCAGCAGCCTGCAGTTGTGTGGAAGCAACGGCTTGGGAAGCTCCAACTTGAGAAGCTGCAATCTCATGTGCAGCATATGCACGAATGTCCTGCACTTCCTTAGCAGCCCTTAGTTCAGCTTCTTGAGACTGAGTCGTGGCGTTGGCCACTTCCTGAAGTGCCTTAGCATGAGTTGCCATGACAATTCGCTCAGCCTCAG